TCAGCTATTCACCTATCGGTATAAAATACTGCAGTACCGAAGATGTCGTCCAAATGTCGTCTTCGAGCGATGACTTAATTTTGGTGTGTTGTTATGTTTATCGCCTACGTAAAAAAAGAAAAAGTTATTGGCGTCATACATATATCGAAAACAATATTAATTGTCAACTTTTTTTTGCGGCTCAAGAACTTTCCCAAGATGACGATTTTTTTACTGATGTATAGAATGTTAAAAAAAACATACGAAGAGCTTCTGAATTTGTTTACTACAGTATTAACAACGCAAAATAGAAGGTTTAGAGAATGTTCAATTTCTAGTACTAAAACGACGTGAATGTCTCGCTCCGCCATCTTGTTTGTACGACTGTGCGCGGTAAATGTCGAGTGGCGCCTGGACATTGGACACGCATCGCGAGACGCGGTAAAACGAAACGATCACTCCTCGGTCCTCGCTTCCGCACATACCGCGCAAATTAGAAAATTATTAATGCGCATTAATGCGCTCGGCAAGCTTTCGGTAGGTACCCCGTATACCGAGCGTATACCGAGCGAATCGAATCCGCAACGCTCCCGCACCGACAAGTCATAAACGGCCTTAATATAACAGAGCGACAGTTGAATTGGGGATGAAAATATAGTATTATTCATACTTTATTATTTTTCTATAATATATAGTACAATTGACTGAAATATAGTACGATACTATACATTATAGTACGGGTGGCAACCCAATTACTTTGCGATTGGCGACGCAAAGTACCATTTTACTGTTCTTGTTGTTAAATTTTTTGATACGCAGCACAGACAAAAATTAAAAAAAAACTGTCACAGTTGTGGATCGCACGGGCGCGCTGCGGCGAGTAGCTAGCACGGTAAATATGCTACGCAATCGTAAATCGTATTTGCATTTACGAATTACGACAATTACGGTTAGGTAAATACGACATAAATTACATAGATACTTATCTGAAATAAACTTCAGAAATGACAGCGTTTTCTTAGTCACATTAAATAAAATCGGGGTTCGATTGTCGAAAAAAACGTTCACAGTTTACAAAACAAAAAACTAGTTTACTCGCCTACTTGCTATCGAATACAGGAGTTACGGAGAACCAAAGAGTATAGTAACTCGGGGAACTGACCGTATTTTAGTAGGCAATTTATTAAGGCCGCCCGTCTACTAGTTTAAATAAAAGTATTTGTTGTACGACAATATACAGGAGGGTACTAGCAATTAGTAATCAACATGCTGCCATATAAAAAGAATTAAAATCTATATTTTCATTAAAAATTCCGTCAAAATTCGAAATCCCGCTCAAAAACGAAACAAATAGGACAATATTTTTTTTATTTTTATGAGATGATTCGTTAAAGATATCTTTAATTTTGAATTTCTACATTTTGCAAATAAATTCCGCTATTTGCAACAAGGCGAGACTTAACTTTAAGAGAAGGCTCCGTCTGTCTATTTTCATTTAAGTGCTGCATTATTTGTGATTATTTTGCGTCTTCAGTTTTTTTTTATAAATAAATCGCGAAATAAAATTTATAGAGTTCCAAATAAGCGTGAAAGGAAAATTTATGAAAAATTGAATTTTTTTTCTTAAAAAACATTACCCCCCCCCCCCCACACTAGGATTTTCTCCTGTATCGTGTGAGCAGTTTACAAACATAAATTGCACAAGGACAAACATCCAGACCCGGAACAATTATTTGTAGGCCAAACAAATACTTGTACCGTGCGGGATTCGAACCCGCGACCTCCGGCGCAGCTACTCATTGCTAAGCCACTGCGCCACGGAGTCGTCTTTTATTTACATAGAAAAGAACAGGCAAACTGCTATTAGTCTTTCCTTTGTTTCATGGTAATGAAGGCGTATTTCCCTCACATCTTCTCATGTAAACTTACTAGTAGTTCTTAAAAATAACATTCCCGTAGCTTAAGATTAAAAAGTGATAACTAATTAATCATAAACATTCCGTATTAGAATTCGAAACTGCACAAATCCTTACAATGTAGTAATCTTCGCAGTGATGACTAAAATAATCTTCTGCTAGCAAGAGGTTGTGAGTTTGAACTGAGGTTTACTTACTTGTCCCACAGATGATCACGTATTGTCATTTTCATTGATGTTAGGTTAAATAAAAGTAAACTTTTTTATTCTTCTCCTTTAAGGAATATTCATTTGATTTATTTATTTCTAATTTAATTAATACAAAATATAGTTATTTTTATATAATAAGAGTGACAAACGAGCACACAATCCACCTGATGGTAAGTGGACGCTGTGATCTATTGATGTCTACATTTATCCTCAATAAATAATCAAAATGCAGATGCGTTGTTACCCGTGAGGACTAAGATGGGATGCCTTGTTTCCACTTTCCAGTAAAACGGGTCTCCGGTTCTCTACACTCACCATACGAAACCAGGGGCGAACCGTGAATTTGTGGGGCTCTAGGCTAACACTAGTTTGGGCCCTACCAAATTAATCAAACTAATCAAGTCAAAAAACTGGTTTCTGTAATGATGTATTATACGGTCTGGAAAAATTATATTACTTTGATACATAAACAGCAACTTTAAGACATTATTGCATAAGATATTAACAGGTTATGTGTAGTTATGTTAAATAAATTATAAAGACCTTTCTAGATTTTTACGCTGCTAATTCCTTTATTTGCTCATCACATTGTCAATCTTTTGTACTTAAGTACCCGAATGACCGAGCTTTGCTCGTTTTTTTTAAATTACATTTAGATACAAATTACATGAATAATATTTTTTGATCTTTTTGACATAATAGAAAAAACTGAACTGGTTATTTGAATAAAAAATCATGAGTGCAATGAGTTTAATTAAAATTTTAGTATTTTGAATAATAGATTTTCTCACAAAAGAAGGGAACTTGAAATAAAAGGAAAAAAAGTCGGACCAAAACGGGACGCGACCCAAGGCATTACGATTTCGCGACCGCTCGATATCCACTTGAGCTATTACGATCATTAATACGTGTCAAATTTACCTTCTTATATTGTAGCAGTTTTTTATTGCCTGAAAACACGGACAAAAAGACATTTTCTAAAAATAAATCCGGTAAAGGATTTATGGAAAGGATTGGTAAATAATTTAGTCGATTGTTCAACATTGTTTACCTACATTTGTTTTCTTTATATGACATCCTGGAGAAACAGCGCACTACTTCAAAGCTAGTGTTTGACAACGTTAAAAATTCTAGAAGATGACAGTAAAGTAGTTTGGGAAAGCATCAACAAGTTTTTTTTTCATTGATTAGCATAAAAATTTCACTGCAAGAGTGTAAGAATCTAGGCTTAGTCTTTAGTGGTCTTTAAAGATTTTAACCCAATTCACTGATTGAATTTCTTACTATATGCCTCATAGACTTGACATTTTTTATTTAAATCCAAAATCCAAAACAGCTTATTCAACACAGCGTTTAACGTGTCTCTTTAAAAATTTTTATTTTTATTCTTGTCTTTTACTTATGTATTACTTTCATTTATGTCACTGTATTCCGGTACCATTCTAGTATTTAAGTTTAAAGATTTCCCCGCGTATATCTTTAATTTTTCATTCGATCGATGTCGTATGTTACTCACGAACTCTTTTGACAAAATAATTAACTTGTATGCCTTCACAAATGTCCTCTTTAAAAATTTCTTCCAAAAAATAGTATCGGGTTTAGCCACTTTTTAAATTTCGTGCCTCTTTTTGAAAATTAACTCTCTCATCCTCATTTCTACCAAAACTCGTGAAATTTTCATAATATTATCATAATTATTTTTAAACTTACAGCTAGTCTTCACTGGGGGCTGGGGGCCCTTTATATCCACGGGGCCTCGGGCTGCAGCCCAATAAGCCTATATATAGAACCGCCCCTGTACGAATCACATCAGCATTAAGCTGCTATTTTACGTTGGTATTCTATTAGAGCGTGGTCCTAACTCCGTAGAACCGACCCATTCGTGCTACAACTATAATATGCCTGCAGAATTGCTCTACCACGTAAAACAATAATCAATTTTAATTTAACAAATTTTAATTATTTCAAAAACAAATAGTAATATTTAACACAGGAAATAGAATGGGGCCCTACACTCTATTGTGAAGAGTCAGAATGTGTCAAAAACGGAACGTATGACAATTCACAATGCTGTGTTGGTAGGGCTGAATCTGAATGACAGGGTGAGAAATTGTGTGATAAGAGAAGAGTGTGGTTTGCAATATGATGTTGTGACCAGGATTAAGAAAGGAATGCTTCGGTGGTTTGGTCATGTGGAAAGAATGAATGAGGAAAGAGTGACAAAGGAAATTTATGTTGCAGAAGTGAATGGCAGAGTCGGAAAGGGACGTCCTAGGCGAAAATTTATCGACCAAATTAACGATTTATTGAAATCGGGCCAAATTAGAAGTACCCTTAATCGACGAGCATGTATGCGTAGGTATATAGACGTGAAGGAGGCGAGAGAGGTGTGTCAGGATCGTGCCAAACGGAAGTCTGTATTCTCCGCCTACCCCTCTGGGTGACAGGCGTGTTTATGTGTATAATGATATTTTATTAATTTTCTAATAATTTAACTTCTCCGCCATGAGATTTGTCAAATAGTATCTTCATTGGCCCTGATGGCAAAAGAGATTGTGGAAGGAAGGAACTTGACTTTGGATGGAGAGTAGGGATTAACGCAAAACACACAGAGTCGAAGTGACAACTTCGGCGCGGCATTTCCATCTGGGATGCTCTCACGCATTTTTTAAAGAAAAAATCCACCACTCCTGGTAAGCTTGAAACGCTTGTGTTAGGAGTGGTTCACAACAGTATTAAAATGGCGGATTCGAACCCACGACCTTTGAGTTCGCGACCCGCGCCCTGCCATTAGGTTACTGTCGCTTCAAAATGCTTACATTGCCGAGAGTGTACAACCGCCATTAGAATCATTAGATGTTGTAATATTTCCGATAATAGTCTATTAAACTTTTAGGCGATATATCTCCAAAATAACGGCATTCAAAAACTACCAGATGATTTCTTTGACTCTTACCCTTGTCTTATGTGGTTAGACTTAAGAGAAAATCGATTGAATGAAATACCAAAATCTATTAAAAATCATCAAAGTCTAACTCATTTACTATTGCAAAATAATAATCTATCTTCGTTGCCCAATGAGTTGGGCACGGTGCTAAGTCTGAAGGTGCTGCAAATAAATGGAAATCCTCTAACATATCCGCCAAGGGACGTAGTTAACGCTGGAATAGAAAAAATATTATCATTTCTACATGACAAATTTATCGAAGAATTATTTTTACAATCTTCATCAGCATCTGAAGATCGTAATGAGTCAAGTCGAAATTCAAATATTTTATTAGCAAACGAACTTCAAAGTTATAATTCACTTTTAGATGAAAAGTTTAAGACTTCCAAGAACCTTTCAGTTCAATTAAGCGAAAAAGATTTCAATGATTCAGATGATGAATTTTATGCAAAAATCAAAGGAAAATGTCCAAAATTGGAAGCAAGTAGAAAAAAGACTCTGCCGTTGTATAGTCAAAGCTCGAAATATCTTAAACCGATTTATGTATGCAGTAAAGATAAGCTAGATGAAAAAATCAAGCAGCGCTTTTTGAAAGACATGGCTATAAAAAAACGAAAAGATTTGCTCGCTAGTAGAGAGAAAATATTACAGGACAAAAAGTAAGTTCATAAAGCAAAAACATCATTACGATTACCATCATCATCATTATTGCAACCCTTTATAAGTCCATTGCAGAATGTAGACCTCCCACATCCTCACATCAACCTCACAAAACACGATCTTTAGTCACCAGCATCAATCGAATTCCTGCATTTCTTACCAGATCGTCATTTCATCTAGTGGGCGCCGCACAATTCGCTTAATTGTGGAGGCTGCCATCCGAGAACCTAACTTTATAATTGTGAATCGATTATGGTTGCCTACTTCCAGCATGACATTGAGTGGTAAACATTGAAAATCGTAGCTTGAAGTTGTCATGTCAAGGAATAGTATTTTATTAGAGTTTCATTTAGATAATCAATTGCCTATATCATTTATTACAGAAATTTGGAGTTATTAAAGAATTGGCGAAGTAATTACAGATCCATCCAAATGTCAATGCCGCGTGTAAAATTCAGTCATGAATATAGCACCAAAGATTATCCTTACGATACGAGTCCAGAATACATGACCCTTCTAACGAGGGAGGATATAGAGAAAGATTTACCGGACAAATACAAAAAACGTTTGTGGAGACGATCTAAACCAACTATTCCAAGAAAGAATAACGGAGACGTCCATTTGGCCATGAAAATAAAGCAGTTGTTTGAAAATTTGGAAGCCATAGATCTGAATAGAGAGGAAATGACGCCGAGAACTGAGCAGAAGATTCTCTTGAATGAGATACATAAGGTAAACTATTATGGTAGTAGCACGAATTGGTTGGCGCGACCGGGGAATAACCAGGCTCACACACAATAACAGCGTAAAATAGCAGCTTAATTCAGGTGTGTTTTGAATGATATGTGAAGAGAACTGGAGACCCTTCTTATAGGATACGAGGTATTCCATCTTAGTCCTCAGAAATGACGACTTATCTGCATTTTGACTCATCGAGGATAGATGTAGATGTATATGAGCCATAGTATCTGCTTACCATCAGGTGGACTGAGTACTTGTTTGTCATCCTTATTCTATAATAAAAAAATGTCATTTCGTAACGTTTTCATTGAAAAGTTTAATTAAAAAATTACTTTAGCAGACGAAATTCTACTTTTGACTCATGATATAGAAGCCTGTTCTGTGGTGCTGGCGTGAGAACTCATCACTCCCATCCCCGTGGGCGTCGTAAGAGGCGACAATGAGAAATTCCAGAAAGGCATGGTTTCCAAAAAAATGTCGGTATTACCATTTTGATCATCACTTTTATTTACAACTATCTGCGTGGGTTATGATGTCGTTTATCGACTATATTTTTCCTTCTAAGCGAGCGTCTTTGTAAAAGTAACCGTCGATATTGGTATAAGTACGAATTATTTCGATGGTTCCCTGATTAGTTCATATAAAATATTGTCAAATGATTTTATCGATATATTATAAAGTTTGGGTTAAGCGACGAATGATCAAATGTGAATGTAATAATGTCCACAATGTCTTTTTCTGTCTACTACAAGCGTATTGCTTGTCTTAATTTCTTTCAATTGAAAATATTCATCCCACAGGTAGTGGGTACATGGACGCGGCTTTTTCTCTTCCCATCTCAAGAATAAAGAGATCCATTATAATTATACCATCTTGGTCTCAGAGGCGAAAACGCACCTGAAGCCTTCTTTATAATTATTTCCATATGTACGCGACCATTACTCATTGAATAAAAAACTATTTTCATTCACTGTGTGGGGTTTTTCCTGTGGGAAGCCGAAATTATGACCATATCCTTCTCGGCCTCTGCCATTATATCGGGTGTCCCAGAAGTCGACGTCAAGCCGAAACTTTGTGATAGGCGAGGCCATACTACCGGAAAAAAATAAAAAAATCTAAGTCATGTATTTCAGAAATTATAGTAATTTTTTTCGATAATATGTACATCATGAGACAGTTTTTTCATCTTGAATATTGAAATTAGTCATCCTGAATCGTACTTCTGTAACCTGTAATCCGAAACCCTGTGCCGATCACTCCAGCTTGAAAGAAAATGTAATTTAATACCGAACCAAGTTTTCAGAATTAGTTTTTCGCACTACTTCAACTAACCGTCTGGAAAAAAATTGTACTACGCCAGTTTGGCAAGTAGCTTTAAAAGTAAGCGCATTTGATAAGGATTCTAACGTGATATAACACTTACTTCATTATTTCTGAGATCAGCCATAAAAATTTTTTGTTAAACAAAGTCAGTTTTTAACAATTTTTTTGAACTTACATTAAAACGATTCTACTGCAACCAAAGCGTTCCTAATGACCACACCACATCGTGGTTTAAATGAGATAGAGAGAGACATTCCATAAAGTGTGAGCGAGACAGACAGTGACGCTAATGAGACACAGACGCAAATGAGTGAACAAGACAGAGAGCCATGCTAAGTGTGAGGAAGACAGGTAATGACGCCTCTTATTGGTATTGGTACATGCACTACAAATCAGTCAAGTACTCTGTGAAATCTTGTGTTCTTACTACTTTGGCTTCGTTTACTGGACTTGTTTGCGTGTGATTTGGATTTGGACATTTGTGATCTCTTTACGACGACCTTTGCTTTTCCCTGGACTAACGTGTTATTGTGTATTTGTATCATACCATGGCTGTGTACACCACACAGGAATATGCCAACATGCACCTTATTTATGGGGAATGTCAATGTAATGCCAATGAAGCCGCTAGACGGTATCGCGAGAGATACCCTAATGCTGATCGCTATCCGGATCACAGAGTTGTTACCAATGTGCACCGTCTACTCTTCTCTGATGGCCGACTGCCAAACCAAATGGATAGTGAAGGTAGATTTTCATTACCTTACGAGGAAGTAGTCCTTCAAGCAGTTGATGAGGACCCAAGTTGTTCGGTACGTGGAATTGAGGCCAGCACAGGTGTGCCCAAAAGTATAGCTTACCGAATATTACTAAAAAATGAGCTCCACCCTTATCATGTACAGCGAGTACAAACGTTATTACCTCGGGATTATGAAGCTCGGGTTTCGTTTTGCCAAACCATGATTCAAAAACACAGAGAAGACCCACAATTCTTAGAAATTTTTTTGTGGTCGGATGAATCATCCTTTAAAAAAGACGGCTACATGAACCTTCACAATCCACACGAATGGCACGTCGAAAATCCACGATTGATGAGACAAGATAGATCACAGTACCGTTTCAAAATAAACATGTGGACTGGAATTTAAAGGGAAAAGTCATAGGGCCTTTCGAGTTGCCAGAAGTTTTAAATGGTGAAATTTATTTAATTTTTTACAAAATCATTTACCCAATTTGCTGGAGGACGTGCCGCTTATTATTTTCAGAGATATGTGGTTCCAACAAGATGGTTGTCCAGCGCATTATAGCCACTTAGTTCGAGAACACCTTAACGAGGAATATCCGGACGGATGGATAGGGCGGGCTGGTCCGATCTCGTGGCCCGCCCGCTCACCCGATTTAAATCCTCTAGATTTTTTTTACTGGGGAGCAGTGAAGGAAAAAGTATATTCCAAGCCGATTGAAAATATAGAAGAGCTTAGAATAATGGAAGATTCGCCCGCCTGATTTCAAGGACGGAAATTTGAACATCTTTTGTAAAATAAGTAATAAATTTTATCATAAAAACGAAACTGACTGTCTTAATTTTATAACCAATATTTTATTACTTTAGTTTGTATTTGCGTCTGTGTCTCCCATAAGCGTCACTATCTGTCTCGCTCACACTTTATGGAATGTCTTTCTCTATCTCATTTAAACCACGCTGTGGTCATTAGGAACACTTTGGTTGCACTAGAATCGTTTTAATGTAAGTTCCAAAAAATTGTTAAAAACTGACTTTGTTTAACAAAAAAATTTTTCTGGCTGATCTAAGAAATAATGGAGTAAGTGTTATATCACGTTAGAATCCTTATTAAATGCACTAACTTTTAAAGTTACTTGCCAAACTGGCGTAGTACAATTTTTTTCCAGGACGGTCAGTTGAAGTAGTGCGAAAAACTAATTCTGAAAACTTGGTTCGGTATAAAATTACATTTTCTTTCAAGCTGGAGTGATCGGCACAGGGTTTAGGATTACAGGTTACAGAAGCACTATTCAGGATGACGTAAGAGAAAAAAAATTGGCAAAAAGTAAATACTTGTAGCAACAGGAATGAAAAATTTACTATAATTTCTGAAATACATGATATATTTTTTTAAATATTGTTCTGGTAACTAGTATGGCCTCGCCTATCAGAAAGTTTCGGCTTGATGTCGACTTCTGGGACAGCCTGTATAAGATTAGATGGACCACAAATCCTTGCGAAAGAACATCAATTCCTACCGATAATGATAGGTACGTGAGTCTTTGTACGCCGTGGTAACTCAGATGGTTAACGCTCGCTGTAAATATAACAGAACGCGAGTAACCAACCTAGGTTCGATCCCCGCCGGCGCAAACGAAATTGTTAATTGCAATTTTAAGTGCTGATTTACCACGTTCTCGGCGGTGAAGGAAAACATCGTGAGGAAACCTGCATGTCTGAGGAATAAGATAAAAAAAATATTTCGAACACATGTGAAGTTCGCCAACATGCATTGGGGCAGTGCGGCGGACACTTCCTTGCCCTAAAACCCTCTCAAAAATGAGGGGAGGCTTGTGCCTAGCAATGGGACGTATATATATGCTATAACTTTACTTTTTACGTGAGTCTTTAAAAGAAATTTAAAAAAAATTCTAATTTCAATAGAGAAGGAGGCTGGGAACTTGGGATCCTGTAAATAATAATATTGGAACTAAGCCCAAGCATACTGCTGCAAAACTTTAAGACGCATTAAGTTCATTCCGCGTGATCGAAATCGCCTCGCGTGACGATTGATGCCGCAAAGTACCCGAAATGTCGGTAATTAAAAAGAAAATCAGACGTAATAAAATGCGTAAAAATAGTTTTATTCAAAGTGCAGCCTCCTTTGTTTGACGTTGGCTGCTGTCCATAGTCTGCAGTAACCCAGCAGTTCAATGGGTATCGTCTTGGTTTCGAACTAGATCGGCCCAAGTTCTCCAATTGCTGTGGTTCTATTCCATACAAAGTTATAATGTAATGACGTAATACATTACTTACCAAGAATTATTTTTCAGATATCAGAAATAAAACAAAAACTTATGGAGCTGTCCGCAACGAATTCAAGATCGATTGCCGCGGAGTAATGTGCACCTAAAATTAGCAATATAATTAAAAATAAAATAAATTTATTTTAATTTGATGTTTTATTATTGAATCTTCCTCATCATTATATTAGACATAACATTTGTAACCCAGGGCTGTAAAGATTGTTACGGGTGGCTAGACCCACCAAGATGTCCACATCCGCAGAATATTCTGATTGCAGACCAAAGGCAAGTAGTTAGGTAAGTACCAGTTCTGGCGCACTTGTAGAAAGGTTGTACCAGTTCTGGCGCACGACGTTCGTCGACTCACAATCCTAAAAAAAAAAAAAGGTTTTGGCATGCTCTGATTACGAATCTGCGGTCCATTTTTGCGTAGGATGCACGGTTCCGGAGATGTGCAGATCAATTAACTCTTATCTAATTGATATCCGCTGCGAGCCTCAACCGTCATTAGCGCTCCATTGTCCTTATCTACTTATCTATTGTTGTTTGACTACCGTCATTATCTATTATTCGTCCGCGTGTGGGTCGGCTTATCCTATTGTATTATACTCCTTTGTTCCTATCTACAACACTAATCTGAATCATCAATAAAACACATTACCTAATTTTGTTAAAATTTTTATTTATAAAATACAAAATCTTATTACTTATTATCTATAAAATAGGAGCGAAACATCTCATCCACTAAAATATCGTTGTACAATGTGTTCTCTGTAAATATACTCGTAAAACTATGTATTGAACATCCCTGAAACTTATATAGCAAATACATTAAGCAATATTCGCCACAAACTGAAGTCCACTCATTCTGAATCCTATCAACATTCCAGTTGCATCTTTTACAATTTCTTTTAAAAAACTCTAGATGATATCGTACAGGTGCCGGTCCGAATGAATCAAAATATTGACCGACGTCATTCGTATCGATATATAAAGCTACCCAATGTGACCCTGGTTTATCATCTGTATCCAAATTGCATATTATATACGTTGGTACGTGGGTGTACATGGGTAGTTTATTGGCAGCATAAACATTATTTTCTAGAGTGGGGTGAATCTTTTTCAGATGTTGTTGTACATCTAGTGTATCCATAATATTACTGCTATTAGTAGATTATTACAGTACCAATCTACTCAATGACTAATATAGGAATGATCAATTATAATGATATCTAAATATTAAATTGCTTTCTTTGTGTTATACAAAACGTATTTGCGTCACCAATACACTGAACAAGACACGACAGGAAGGACGTAGGAATGTAGAGATAAGCAACAGAATGTAAGGTAAGCTTGTTGACGCATAAAGATACTATCAATTCTACTGCAGAAATTCTTTAGATTAGAATTATTACTCACTGGTACTATATAAGACCAAGCAACTGCAGTCATGGAGTTAGTGTACGGTCGTTTGACCGCAGTGGATCTATCAATACTACGTTTGTGTTACTTCAACGCATCAAAGGCCATGGATGTAAGTGTTTATTCTATTGACGAACTTACTTTTCTTTCTGTTATTTTCTTACGTGTGTATGATTTAGTGTTAACAAATTATATTTAAATATTATGTGTGTGTATAAGGTTAAGCCGTGGTAGCTCAGATGGTTAGCGCAAAATGTAAAATTCATAGTACACGACCCGGGTTCGATCCCCGCCGGCACCAATTAAATTGTTAATTACAATTTTAAGTGCTGATTTACCACGTGCTCAGCGGTGAAGGAAAACATCGTGAGGAATGCATGTCTGAGAAAATTTCGAAGACATGTGAAGTTTGCCAACACGCATTGAGGTATCACAGCGAACATTTCCTAGCCCTAAAACCCTCTCAGAAATGAGAGGAGGCCTATGTTCAGCAGTGGACTTTAATAGGTTGTAACTTTAGCTTTTTTAACTTTTATGATTAAGTGTTAACAAATTGATATTAACATGATAACTGTGTTGTTGCAGAAATCATTGAGCTTCGATGAAAATACCTATAAACAGTATTACTACTCGCCACTCTCCCCTCAAGAAGAGAGTGATGATATCGTCATTAATAATAACACATGCGATGGTGGAAAAAGAAAATCGCAATCGATTGATCATTTTTTTGAAGCTGAATTAAAAATAAAAAAGAGGAAGCTGTTATCATCAACCGTAGCACGAGCCGCTAGAGATGGTGTATCATACATTTCTACTAATTCTGACGACGGAGACCAAGCGACGCATCTCATCAAAATTGAAATGTACGATATGAAGAAGCTATCCAAGATTCCAACTACTGATCATTGGAAACATGCTTCCACGAGGATTAAATATTACGTAAAGACTAATAAGGATAGCATCTACGACAACACAAACACCCTCGTATACAATATTACAAAGACAATAGCAGAAAGTGAAAAAGTTAAAAAATACTTTTTTAACAATGACAGTCATTAGCTGATCATTAGTGAATGTGATTCTGTTTACTTAAATTACTTCCGTGTACTCATTATATTCTATTTCTAATCCTTTGTTAGACTTAAATATCGGACATTATTTGAAATTTGGGTATCAGTTGGTCTACCAACACTGAACTGTTACTTTGCTACCTATTTTCTTCTTTACTATAAGGATGGCAGACTTCAGTGAAGTGTGCACCAGTGCTTTCTTCTCCACAACCATGGAAGAGAATACGGAACTATTCAACAGCGAATTAAATCAGGAGTTGTCTAAAGTTTGTGATGAAATGTAGAAGGATCAACTGTTCGATTCATCGTATGATGATGAGTTGTATAATCACTGTGCGATGGTTGAAACACAGTTTAAGTAAGTAAAATAAACATTCATTTCGATCATAATTTACACAATGTCTTGTACAGTTTTTAATAAATTTAAACATTTTAGTAGTCAACCACTACAACTTGGAAGAGGAACGAAGCGAACGAGCAGCAAAGAACCCAAGATCATCAAAAAACCAACAACGGAAGCAGAAGCGCCTACCTCTGCAGGGAACAGTATCAGTAACGAAGATCAAGTGGAATGTCTAACGTGTCATATATTTATCAAGAAACGGTATTTAGCTAATCCTTTTAAAAGTAATGTTCACAAAAATAATCTTTTAAATTCACATAATTCTTTATCAAACGTTAGTGTTATTGAATCTGCTTTTGGAAATAGGATTTTAACTTATAAAATCAAGAGTAGAGTAGATAGTTCGACATTGGTAAATTTTGAAACTCCTGAACTATTTTTAAATTCTATTAAAGATGATATTTTATTTTTAATACAAGAGTGTATTCATCAACACATAATTTTTAAAGTAAACTTCATATTGCATGCTGATTTTGTTCAACAAACTAAAGATATTCATGATACGTTCGATTTTCAAACGCTTAACTATATTATTTGTCAAGGAGATGACTTAAATATTTTTTTTTCATCTTTAAATGATACAATTACTACTAAAATTAGTGCATTTGAAAAAAAAGATAGTGGATGGAGTCTAAAAAACATAAAATCTATAGACATGAATGTTAATAAATTTAACCCCCTACGCGGTACTTCATACATAGATCTTCCTCGTGACATAAAATTAAAAAAGGCTGTTATAAATGTAAAAAGCAAGGATTATTTTTGTTTTAAATGGGCGTTACTCTCGGCGTTATATCCCGTAAACAAAGACGCGAATCGTGTATCATCGTACGTTAAACATGCAAATAAACTTAAATTTAATGGTATTTCCTTTCCAGTTAAAATTTCTGACATAGCAAAAGTAGAGAAATTAAATGATATTAGTATTAATGTTTTTGGGTTAGAATATAATAAAGAAAAACGATGTAATTCTATAGTAGGTCCATTATTTTTAACAAAGTGTCGTAAAGATAGACATATCAATTTATTATTTTTTTCCAAGGACTGAAAAAAGGACTGAAGGAAGGAAAAATCATTATTGTTACATAAAAAATTTATCGCGATTAGTCAGTAAACAAATTTCAAAAGACGGTCACATCATGTACATTTGCGAAGCATTCCTACTTCACTTTCCATCTAAGGAAAGTTTAAATAACCATGAACAATACGATTGTGCCCACATTTGTACAGAATTACCAAACAGTGAAACTTTAAAAAAAAAGAATTGGTTTGGTCAACCTATTTCAAATGATAAAATTAAATTTGATAGTTATGAAAAAAAGTTGAAGATACCATTCGTAGTTTATGCTGATAATGAAGCATTTTTAAAACCAATAGAATCATGTTCTAACGATCCTTCCAAACCTTTCACACACAATATTCAGAAACATGAAGTACATAGTTTTGGTTATTATATAAAATGTTCATATGATGATAAATTATCAAAATATGTAACGTATTGCGGACCCAACTGTGCACAAGTGTTTATGGAAAGTTTATCTAACAATCTCAAAGAAATAAATAGACTTCAAAAATATCCTCCACTTCCGCTAACAAATGAAGACAAAAACCAAATTTCAAATGCAACCATTTGTCATATTTGTGAAACAGAGTTAGCAGAACATTTTTATGATTTTGATTGGTACACCGGTAGTTTTATAGGTGTTGCTCACGAATCATGTAGCTCAAAGTTCAGGAAACCTCGTTATATACCAATATTTTTACACAACCTTAGTCACTATGATGCTCATTTTATTGTTCACGCGTTAAACTTTTGTGATGGTGAAGTCGAATTTATCCCTCTAAATAAAGAACAATATATATCCTTTTCCAAAAAATTAAAAATGAATAACCACGAAATTATATTAAGATTCATAGATTCATTTAAGTTTTTATCATGTAAATTAGAAGAATTGGCCAAAAATCTCAGTAATGATCAATTTCAAGAATTACGTAGAAATTATCCTAATGATGAAGATTTCTTTCGTTTAAAACGGAAAGGCGTTTATCCTTATGAACTTATGACAAATTATGATAGTTTAAGCCTAACATCGCTCCCCCGAACAAAAATTTTTTTATAGCTCGCTCACAGATTCCCATATTTCAAATGATGATTACAATCATGCTAAAGATGTTTGGGAACACTTTGGGGGTTGTAATAT